CCAGCGGTTCCCAGGCGGTCGGGACAGCTGGATAGGCCCCCCACGACCGGACGCGCTTGGGGAGTGCAGGAGGTGACCTCTTTCGGCCCCAAGACGCTTGTGAGCTGGGCTGCGGGGGGGGGGGGGGTAGAGTTTCCAGGCTTCCTCGTGCCCGCTCCCCCCACCCACCGCGGTGAAACCCTAAACCTTTGGGTTGCATAAGGCCCCGGCACCGCCGCCCCCTACTCCTCTCCCCTCCCCCCTTACATAACATCCCCTGGAGGCAATGAGAGGAGGGGCCGGCCCGCCCAGGGACCCCTTCCCTGCCAGGGTACTCAGCTGGCCTGACTCAGTGAGTGCCGGTAGAGGCAAAGCACCTCCGCCACCTCCCGCCCGGTCCAAATCCTCTCCGGGCTGAGTGGTCGGTCCCGTATCCTCGGACCAGAGGGCGCGAGGTTAGCCGCCCCCAGCCCTCCCGCCCCTCACCTTCCTCCCAGCTACTCCGCAAGACCTTCCGCACGACTCCTGTCTCGGACTCTTTTTTAAAAACCTCCAGACACACTCCTCTAGCCAGTCCAGGACCCTCTCCCCCGAAGCCCCCTGCCTCCGCCGCCCCCTCTCCCCTCCCCCGGAAGGGCAGGGTGTGGCCGCCAGGACCGTACTTGCCCCCATTACCCCGTTAGCACGATTCCCTCCAGTGCGGCCAGGACCCCAGCTCACACCCACCTGGTGCTGGGTGTGTGCGGGGGGTGCTGAGGACAGGGGAGCAAATCAGTGCGTCCGTGCCCCACGGCCGGCGGCGCTCTCTTCCCAGCGCCCAGCACACACCGGCTCCAGTCTCCGATCAGCTGGCGGCGTAGTGACGCACAAGTTGCGATTGCACCGCCCAGGGCCAATCACCGCCTACTGGTGTGCAGCGTGACCACACCCACTCGGGGGCGCCAGCCCTTCGCCCTGATCCCGCCTCTCCGGCTGTCTTAGCTCTGATTGACAGGGAGGCCATCCCTTTGCCTAAGTAGAGTTGCACTAAGCCACGCCCACCAACTCAAGAGCTAGCCAATAGGTGAAAAGGTGTGGCTCAGCCCTCCGCTAGGCTACTTGCTTTGAAGAGCGCTACGTCAAACCAGGGTCGGACCGAGCAGCAGGAAGTAAAGGCGTGTGTGTTTGCTGTGCATTCTGGTCCGTGTAGTTCTTGAGCTGACACCCCGTTCCCAGAATTCAGAGCGCTCTGTGAGTTGGCATTTTTAAATCATCTCTGAATCCATCCCCGGCGAAATCCTTAAAGGGCTACAGCCCCTCCTTTTTGGAGCCGTGAGTGCTTCTTTTAGACAACCCCAAAATGGATTCGCTGACCTCTGCAGGAGGCTCTCTAAGGAAAAGTGGAGCAGGCGAAGCAGCAGGAGTGGGCAGAACTGAAGGTGGAAATCAGTCCCCAGGGCAGCAGACTCTGCCACTGGACGGGAACTCCTGAGGGCTTTTGGGGTAGGGAGGACTGCCCGCCTCACCAAGCCCCAGCTTTCACTGGAGAGATCTAGTCCACCCCTCCTGGGGGTGGGGGTGGGGGTGGGGGTGGGATGAAGGCTTCCTGATCAGGGGACTTTTCTTGGAGATGTCTGGTCCCAGTCGCAGGGGTAGAGCCGCTTCCTAACAAAAGATTCATACTTTTTCGCGGCTGTGAAGCTGGGGAAGTCCCGGCCGCGCCGAGGAGATCGCTCTCATGGTCCTCCCAGCCCTCGACCCTCCCCCAAAGGCCCTTAATAAAATGGTTTGCTTACCCCATCCCTTCCCCCCTCCTCACCATCCCCCCCCCCCAAATAAAAAAGATTCATAGTACAGTCTTCACCTGAGGGTAGATGGAAGACTTCTGGTCAGAAACTAGGGGATGGCCGTGTCAAAGTACAACTGGCCGGCAACCCCATCCTCTGCCTTAATACCCCCATTCAGTACCGCCCTTCAGAAGCTTTGCACTGACTCAGACCTACTTAGGGAAGAGATTTCAAAGGTAGAGACCAATGAGGAGGCTGGTCCTTCCCTCGGGGGCCAATCAGAGCTTAGAGGGGCGGGGGATGGGCAAAAACTGAAAGGAACCCAGTGACTTGGCAAAAGCTGCTCCACTGCCTATTGAAAGGGGCAAGTGTGGGGCCCACCCCGTGGCATCACTCCTCCGCCCTTCCCCCTTCCCAGCTGAACCCACACGTGTAGACGGGGATCCATGACTTTTCCACCAGCTCCAAATTGGGGGTGAGGTTCACTGAGCTGAAAGGATTTGGCTGGAGTGCCAGATAGTTCCTTCTGTATTAAATACGGGCTCTGCCAAGTGATTGCTCTGGTTTCTAGGAGCACCACGATTCTCCACTTGTGTTCAGAACATTGTGCCTTTAAGGAAACTTTCTGCCTCCCACCCCAGTAACAGCTGACTGCTGGAAAGTGTGACCTCAGGGGACAAATCAGCTGTTACCACATCCTCCTCTTGGCCTGCCCTGCTCCATCTGATGACTCTCGCCTCCCCCACCACCGGCGGGGAGGGAATGAAGGAGACAGAACCCCAAATATGGGGGACCTGCTTGTATGTTCCTTCCTCTTCCCTCTCACTGTCACCATCTGTCTCCCTCCTTCCTCCCTCCCCGCTGCTGGTTAGCTCTTCAGAGGTTCTGAGCTTGGAACCAGAGGTATTTCCTGTCGGCACCGTCAGCTCAGACCCACCCTCCCTGGTCTAGTCAGGGAGGCCAGTACTGGGGAGGCCCAGAATGGAGGCTGGAGGGGTGTGCAGGGTGTGTGTGTGTGTGTGTGTGTGTGTGTGTGTGTGTGTTCCAGGAATGGGAACTGGGGAAAGTCCAGTGAAGCTTCGGACTAAGCCTAGAGGAGTGGAACGGCTGTGGAAAGCAAGCCTCCTGGGTGTCAGAACCCTGCTCCCTGGGCCGGCCCGCTGCCCTTTGCTCCCTGCTCAAGTCACCTTATTCCTCCCCAGACAGGGACCTGCTAAGTGAATCGCCCTGGCCTTGCTTCTAACTCCACTTCTGTTTTTAGATGCCACCTTGGCTGCTTCCGTTTTTACACTCCTACCCTCTACAGCAAGGGAGCTAACGTGGCGCTTCCCGGGGCTGCAGGTGGAACAGTACTGGCCCCAGGAACCAGCGGCTTTGGCTGGGAAGCCCTGCAGGAAGACCTAAGTAAATATTTTGCCCCCAGCTCTGAGCTGGGAATCAGGGTCACTCCAGGACAAGCTGAGTGTGAAGTCCCAGGAATGACTTGGCAAGGTTGGGAGAAACTGATCAGGGCCTTGGCCAAGCTTGGAAGGAAGAGAAATCTCACCAGCTGACCCGTTCCCATTATCCTTAGCATAGAAGTCCCATCCCCTTTCCACCCAAAGGCCCTGTGGTAGGCTAGTCTCTCTCTGGTTCTGCTAAGTCTCCATCCCCTCACCCTCCCATCCTAGGGCAAAAGCACAGGCTTTCAGTCCAGGGTTTCTCAATCTCAGCACTATTGACATTTTGAATTGAATAATTTCTTGCTGTGGGGCTGTACTGTGGGGGCCAGCATCCCTGGCCCACTAGATGCCATTAGCAACACAACTTGACCCCTCCCCATGACAACCAAAAGTCTCTTTAGACGTTACCAAATAGTCCCTGGGATCCCGAATTGCCCCCAGTTGAGAACCACTGAGTTAGACAAACTTGGATTCAAATTCTAGCTCTTACCAGCCCTGAGCTTGATGAAACACTTAACATCTCTGAGCCTCAATGTCCTCATCTACAAAATTGAATGAATAATAAATTCATATTGTAGGGATTAAAGAAGGAAATGCCTAGCACAGTACCAGGCTCACGGGCCCACAGTTGGTGCATTAAACATTAGCTTCCTTCACTTCTCTCCCTGCCAGATCAGCAAAGGCTAACTCACCCGGCATGGGCTGACTGCCGGGGCAGCTGCAGCTTACCTCCCTGACTACCCAAGCCATGACCTCCAGGACACTCAATATGGAGGTTGGCAAAGGGGGCTGGCTAATTTGGTCCTAGATTCTCCAAAGTCCAAAGGTGCTTGGGTTGGGATTCAAGGGAAATTCGGGAATAGATTTGTTACAAAGCATTATATCTCAAGATGTGGCCTGCAGATTGCCTGCATCAGAATTACCTGGGGTGCTTATTAAAAATTCAGATTCCTGTCCTAGCCAGTTAGGCACATGCCCCGGTTTCAGGCTCGATCCCCAGTAGGGGGCGTGCAGGAGGCAGCCAATCAATGGTTCTCTCTCATCATTGATGTTTCTATTTCTTCCTCCCTCTCCCTTCCTCTCTGAAATCAATAAAAATATATTTAAAGAAATTCGGCCCTGGCCAGTGTGCTAAGTGGTTAGAGCCCACACACCAAAGGGTCTCGAGTTTGATTCCTGATCAAGGGCACATACCTGGGTTGCGAGTTGTGCCCCGGTCAGAGCATGTGTGGGAGGCAACCAGTAGATGTGTCTCTCATGTCGATGTTTCTCTCTCCCTTCCTCCTTCCCTTCCACTCTCTCTGAAAAGCAATGGAAAAAAATATCCTCAGGTGAGGATTAACAAAAAATAAAAATCCAGATTCCTGGATTTCATCCCAGGCTACTGAATCAGAAGTACATCATAAAGTTTGAAAACCACGGTTTTAGGGCTCAGATTGGGGAAGGTGTCATTGCCCCAGAAATCTTAGTGCACCCAGTACCCACCATTGCAAGGACTCTCTTATTCAAGAGAAAGAAAGAATTCTGATTGGATTTCCTCTCTTGGAAATACATGTTCATTGGCAGCAAAGGTTGACCTGGCTCTGTATGATTCATTAATCCTAACCAGTTCATTAATTCTCTTCTTTGCTCTCACTGTTCTGCAGATTCAGGCTATTACTAGAACAGTAAGATTTATTTTAGAATCTAAGCTACCTCTAAATGTTTTAAATATTCCCTTCTATATTCTGGCATTGAAAAGGCATAACTTAAAGTGAAAATTAAAAGGAAAATCTTATGGAATCATAAAAAATAAAAAGGAATTCTGAGGTAAGGTTAGTTACACCCAAGGTCATTGTTGCATTGCAAGCCAAAACCACTAGAGGGCAGGGCACACACAGACTTGCAGAAAGAAAAAGTAGTGCCTGTTCAGTCTAGGTAAACTGAGACCAGAGTAAAGACCAGATGGACCTAATTTTATTGGTACTAAGAAGCAAGTACTACCTCCTGACCATCAAAACCTATCCTCTAGCCTCAGGAACACAGACCAAAGTTGGGGATGAGAGATTGACAGGAACACCTAATTTCCCCGCTGGAAAAAACAATAGTGCAATGGCCAAGGAGTACAGAGAACACTGGTTTTAGATAGGCCTGGATTTGAATCCTGGCTCTATCACTTCTTAGCTATGTGACCTTGGGCAAGTTACCTAAGGTGGTCATTCTCCTAATCCTAATGAGGATTAAACAAAACAAGGTATGTGAAGTGTTTAGCGTGGTGCCTGGATCCTAATCAGTGGTTGTAAGTTACTACTTATGACCCAGGTCCTATGACCAAGCACTTCAAGGGTTCCAGCTGCTCCTTCAAGAAAGAAGACACAGCAGCCCTGGCCGGGTGGTTCAGTTGGTTGGAGCGTGGACCTGTACACCAAAAGGTTTTGGGTTTGATTGACGGTCAGGGCACATACCTAGTTTTCGGGTTCAATCTCTGGTAGGGAGGCAGCCGATTAATGTTTCCCTCTCACATCCATGTTTATCTCTCTCTAAAAACAATCAGTAAAAACATATCCTTGGGTGAGGATTAAAAAAAGAGAGATGGAATCAGATTATAGCTGAGCCATTCCTGTCTCCTAATTTGGACTGTAGTTTTTCTTAAGTGACCTTAAGGAACCCTCTACACCTCTACACCAACTACTACACTCTCCTTCTG